GTCGTTTTTATTATTCATTTCCACTCCTGGTGTGACCTAGACATAAAGCCAAAGTTGCAATGTGTTTCCGTTTAAAAAAAAAAATCACCGCTGGGGCTTTAGTCACTGGAAATACCCCCTCCTGCCACCACCCAGAAAAAGAATTCACAGGAAAATCCATTTGACTCCCATCCTTGTTTCCTTCTCTTTTCTGGGGGCTCCCAAATACCAGGTTCATCACTGCATGATGGTGCTAAAACCATCTCATCCCCTGGGAGGCCCCTGGGTGTAGAGGCCAAGCCCCAAGCTCCTTCCTCCTTTGCCTAGAACCGTGCCGGCCACAAAAGGAACCTGCTGCTGGTGGTTGGCTTTGCATTTGTGCCTTCATTATCAGCTCCAGGCAGGACCCAAAAGGTCACTTGAAGACAACCCTGCTGTTAGTCACCATATGGCTTTCTATCCCATGCCTATGAGGAGGCAAACTTCTCACCTGCCAAAGGGGAATTCTACCTTGAGTTCCTGAGGGAAGGACTCGCTCTCGGGAGAGCTCGTTAATTCACAAAGAAGCATTTCCAGGCTGCTGCCGGTGAGTCTCCACAGAATTTAGAAACCCCGTATTGATCAGGAACACCTCACCCTGCTAATCGTCCAGAGCCGTACAGACAAGCATCAACTTGAGAACACATCTGTCAGAGAAGAGGGATGTGTGCGAGACAGATGCACACACGCGGACACAGTTCAACACGCAGAATGGATATCAGGTGCAGAGCAGCAGAGCGCAGACTAGAGAGCAACAGGCTGCTCTGTAGCTTAGGGGAAGACGTCAAAGGGAAGCAGAAATCCTCGTTTTGCTACAATACTGACATTATCAAGAACAACTAACAATCATATTAGGCTGCTAATAAAAGAACTTTCCGACTCAGATCTCAGTTTGCTTCCCAGCTGCTAGAGGGGCCTCACAAGCATGACAAACTCATTTCCTAAATTGGTTGTATAGGTAGAAGGAACGCCTCGGCTGGCAGGAATTCAGAGAAGTTGACAGCAGGACTCGCGCCCTATTTCTCACTGTGTTGCCTCTTGGCAGGGGTGGCATCTCCTTCATTGGTGGTTTTCAGCAGGAGGCTGGGGAGGGAGGTGTCTGCCTGGGGTGGTGTAGGAACAGCACGCCCTGTGCAAGGGGCTGCAGGTCCCATCCAACCCCAGCGGTCCCATTCGCCCCTCGGATGCTGTGGCAGCTCGCTGCCTGGCCTCAGTTTCACTGCTGTCCCATCCAGCCGGGCAAACACACACAAGCTTCACCAGCACTTCAAGAGGCAGCTCACAAACTCAGCGTGTGTATACGTGCACTCTCTCCATTTCTCCCTTCCCAAAAAGAGCCTGGAAGCCATCAGAAGAGCCCCCGCCTGCTGCATTTCTGTGGGTTTCGCCATGAGGTGGGTTGCAAGCCCACATCAACCGGCTTTTTGTTTCTACATAGTTTCACTTTCCCGTTTTCTGCCACTTGGCCTATTTGCACTGCCCAAGATCAGCCACCGCTGGAAAAGGTGAAAACTCCACTTGTTTTCAAAAAAGGAGCCAGAGATATTCACCTCGGGCAGGCGAGGAGTCAGCCGCAGAGGTCTGCAGGAACAGGATGATTTAGTGAGCGGCTAGAAAGACGGGGGCAATCTCAGATGAGTGCCCCCAGCCCTATGCCATCCCCTGTCTGGCACAGGCCATGCCACTGACACACGAGTTGTCCTAGGGAAGTTTTGGGGTGTCTGACATCTTCCAATGAGCTGTTCCTAGGATCCTGTCCCCAGTAAAGCTAAGGGTCTTTGTTAGCGCGGGCGAGGTTTTAAAACAGGTCTCAGCTCTGAGTGAAAACCAAGCATCTGACCGAGTAAGCATTGTCTACAAAAGCTTGTGCCTCATCAAGTTAGTAAGATGCCAGCCTGCCCTGCCTTCTGCCTAGTGAAAAGCCAGCTGCTGGGTCGCGGTGCCTTTTGAAAGGCTGGCCCCAGGAGCTCAAAACTAGGGCAAAAAAGAGGGGGGCAAAAATCCCCTCTCCTGACAGGGCCTCAGTAAGCTGGACTGCACAAAAAACAAGTCCCGTCTCGTAGTTCAGTAGAGTCCAGTCTCAGCCCCCTCAAGGGATGGGAGCGAGACCTGGGTGAGTCACAGAGCAATTCTCCCACTTCTCAGAGGTAGAAAGGTCCTGTTCCTAGTTTCACGGGGTCTCAAGACACGGGACCTTAAACCAGTCACTGGCACTTGCACAACCTGACCTCTTCTCACTGCCCGTTGCCCCAGGCCTGGGGCGGGGGGTGGAGTACAGTACCAGCTCTAGGGGAAGGAAGGAAGCTTGTTTGTGCTCCACTGCTTCTCTGATGTTACCTGGTGTCACCATGAAGCTGCTCAAGAGGACTGGAAACGAATTTGTGGGCAGAGTACAAAGGAAGGCTGGTCAAAGGTGCAAGAAACACACTTCGCCACATGCCATGGTGTGGTAAACATAGCAGCAACACAGCTAGAAGTGTTACCCTGCGAGTGTCTCTTCGCAGCCAAGTCCTATTCAGTAGCAGATCATCCGGTATCTCCCACCTGCGGCAGCAAACCCAGTGCAAATGCTTCTTGCTGGGCCTGACTCATTTCTGCAAGCCCTTGCCCCCTTTACCCACTGCAGCGCAGCTTGCTGCAGGCAGCCCCCGTGTTCTCCCTTCACGGCTGGGGCTCTTCCCGCCTGCCTCGGCCGCTTGCCTTTCCTGTTGCTCGATGCTAAGCGACGCAGTGTGACATCCTGCGTCAGGCCCGGCCATGGCCTTTCAGGTCCCATGGCATGGGGCCGTGCGCGGGGGATGTATAATTGATAGGCCGATTCCTGTGCCCCCAGGTAGGCGCTGTGTTCTCTCCCCTCCAACCCCCGAACCCCCTGCGCAAGCACGCAGCTTCCCCGCCGCGCCCTGCACTTTGAGAGCAGCTGGGGAGGGAGCGTGGGAGAAGGAGAGCAGGAGGGCTGTGAAGGGCAGAGGGGACACCCCGCGGGGTTCGAGGAGGCGGGTGGAAGCCAGCCTGCGTCCCAGAAGCTGCGGGCACCACAGGGTAGGACACTGTCTGCCAGCTCTGCTCCGGCAAGGCGTAGCTGCGACACTTCTCCCTTCCTAAAAGCCAATAGACCGTGAGCATCCAGGCATCGTGTGCCCTGCTGCTGCCTCCGACACCTTCTGCCCTTGCAGCATTTGCCCCCGCGGGACTCTGGTCGGGTTGGCATCAGATGCATCACCCAGGCTCCAGCCGCTCCAGCCTGCGCTGCCTGTGTGTCAGGCTCGGGTGATTTGCTGGGAATCGGAGAGGAGTTGGGCTCGGTGCCCCTCTTGCAGAGCCCTGACCTAGATTTCATTGTCCGCTCATGGCACGTACCAGGCAGCGCCCTGCCCCTCGGCCAGGAGAGGCAAGGGCTGGAGAAGATGCCCCAGCCAGTGACCAGAAATGGCATCATCTGGAGCCAGTGCAAGGCTGTCACGGGGCCTGTGGGAGGAGGGGGCGATGTGGTGGCTGAAACACAGGGTGGGTCCAGCTTCCCACTAGGTAAACGGCTGCTGCGGAGAGATGGCAATCTCCCCGGGAGGCAGCAGAACCGCTCTGCAGCCGCAGCAGTCTCCCCCCCACCCGCCCACGCCTTTGCCTGGAGCCCGTGGGGTTGTCACGCTGCGTTTGGGGCTGGCCACAGCCCCCGCTCAACTCATGGGCCTGGGGTGAGAGAAGAGACCTCCCAGGCCAGCGAGTCTGACCCCCTCGCCCAACCGCAGGGCTCAGGATCTGGCCCAGAGCTTGGGGCGTGCAGTCTGCAGACTCCCCCAGCATCCGACACCGCTGTCCTTACCCTTCTCCGCTGCCCTTCCCATCCCTACGCGTGCCACCCGCTCTGGCCCTGTTTCCCTTCCCCCCAGCCCCAGCCCCAGGGGTCTCCTGGCCCCATCAAAGCTCCCAGGATCTGTCACCTACCACGTCTGCCGCCCCTGGCAGCAGAGAGGGTCCGCGGCTGCCGGCCGTGCCCCAGTGGGGGCATCGGGGTGATGGCCCACATGGGTCAGCCTCACGCTTAGCTGCTCCTAGGAGAACGGCGCGTCTGCTCCTTGGCCTCCGTCCAAGCCTCCTGCAGCGAGGGCAGAGACCCCTCCGCCTGCTCTCTCCTTGGGGGCTACTGCTGCCTCTGGGCCCCAGCCCAGGCTGCCCCCATGGAGACCCACAGGTCCCTTTGTGACAGCAGCAGGCCTGCAAGGTGCCTCCTGTGCTCCCCCCTCCCCAAAGGGGTCCCTGCTCCATCCCAGGCTGGTCTGGAAAACACAACTCCCCCAGGCCCTGGCAGAGCCCCCGTGCCTCCGCAGGCCTGCCAGCAACCTCCCGACACCCTCCTAGAGAGACCTCCCCCAGCCCTGTGCTCAACTCCCTCACCTCTTCCCCTTGCAACCCGGGGCTGGAAGTTCAAAACCACTCAAACGCTCAGGCTTGGACAGAAGGACTCTGCTGTTGGCATCCTTCGCGTTTCAGCGGCCGCGATGCTCTCCTGTAGCAGTGTCTAAGTCAGCAGCCAGCCTCATGACCAGAACAAGCCCCCCAGGCTGCATTGTGCAGCTTCTGCAGCACCCTCCGTGCACCGTGAAGGATGTCCCGGTGCCGCGGGGATGGCAACCCCGACGAGACGGGGCTGGGGCTGCCTGCCTCCCCCACGGACATCTCCGGGGCTGTATCTCCACCAGCAGGGTGAGGTGATTTTGCCTCCGATGCCCCACTCCCAGCAGACCCACAGGCCGGATGAGAGGAGGTGGAGAACAGGGCAGGAGCGTGATCCCGCCGCCCGCACAGTGAGGTCACAACCTCGGCGCTGTGACATCACAGCTGCCTTTGGCAGCAGGGCCACGGCGAGGGACGGACCGCGCGAGGTGGGTGGGCGAGGTGAGAAGCCAGTGAGCTGCTCTGTGCCCAGCCCACCGGGACCCACTCATATGACCAAGTCATTCCCAATTAGGTCTCGCAGGGGATTCGGGGTTTTTTTAACCATTTTATTTTGCAGCCGTCTGCTCCCCCCCGGGGTGAAATCCATCCCTGCAGAGCCTGCAAAGCGTATCGCTCCACAGGCTGAAATCCCGGCAAACAGGCACAACGAGCGCATTGAACGGGGGAGCCCGGCTTCTTGTGTCCTAGCCTGTGCCCCCGACTCTCCTGGGCTCGTCTCCCGCCGCCCCCCGCTAGAGCTTCCAGGGCATCTGGAACTCGTTGGGCAGCAAGAGAGTCCAGTGCGTGGCCTCCACGTTCTTCATGTACTTCGTAGCCAGAAACAGGGCCAGCTGCTGCCTTCTTCCAGGGGTCGTGTCCTTCCCGACCCTCCAAGGGAAGCCGTCTCCAGGCCCCAGGCTGGATTTGTAGGCTTGCAGCTGGGCGATGCACCAGTCCTCCTCCACCTGGTAGTACCTGCAGACGGCCGCTTCCTGCGCGGGGCTGGCGGCCCTCAGCCAGTGGTGCACAGCCACCTCCCCGTCCCGCACCATGACCTCGGGGTAGCGGGATCTCAGCAGCCGCAGCAGCAGCTTGTTGCCGCGGTTGGACCGGATGTCGGCGAGCCGGTCCGTGGTCCTGACGTGGGTGGCGGTGACCTGGTCCAGGGTCCTGCGGATCAGCAGCACTGGCCCCGGGTAGGCGCAGAGCTGCTCGGCCACATTGAGGTTGAAGTGCCGCTGCACCGTGCGGGCCACCAGCTTGCTCCAGCTCTTGGGCATGACCTTCAAAGCCAAGGGCAGCAGGTGGTCGAACGTGGCGTCCAGCACCAGGGCGCCCAGCTGCGGGTAGGTCATGGCGGCCCAGGTGGCCGTGTAGCCCCCGAGGGACCAGCCGTAGAGGAGGATGTCCTGGAGCTGGAAGCCCAGGCGGTTCATGGCGTATTGCACCACCACCTCCATGGCGTTGGCGTCGTGTCGCGGGAAGGGCAGGCCCGTGCTCCCGGCATAGCCGGGGTGGTTCCAGCCCAGGGCGGAGTAGCCGGCTTCCAGCGGCGTGGCCAGGCAGCCTACTTCATAGAAACCCACGTTCCCCTCGCAGCAGATGACCAGCTGCTTCCCTCGCGCCAGGTCCTCGCCGCCCGCCGTGCTCCTCCTCCGGTCCACGAACATGGTGTCTATCTGGTTGCCGTCGCGAGCCACCAGCTTGGCCCGCTTGCCATGAAACTGCCCTAGCAGGCGGGCCTGCCCCTCCACCAGCAAGGGCTGCAGGGCCTTCTGCAGCAGCGAGATGGAGCCGGGGTAAAGCAGCCACCGGCCCACCGAGCGAGCCAGGACGTAGCTGGCCAGCTGGCCGGGCAGCTGCTTCATCCTGAGCAGAGAGCAGTGTTGGGCAGCGTTGGTGCGCCCGCGTGCCGCGCTCGCAGGGCGTCCCCGCGGCTCTCCTCCCACGGTGGCCGGGCAGGGTGGCGCTGGGGGGCCGTGGCCGCCAGCCTCGTCCCATCGGAAGTCCACAGGCCAGCTCCGGAACTGGGACTTGTAGCTGGCGGCCAGGTAGGTGGTAAACACGTGGCCGAGCGCTTTCCCAAAGCATATGACACACATTGGGGGAGCCAGGGCGCCGTCTACCCAAGGGGGAAAGTCCAGAGAAAGGGATCGCTAGAGCCTCAGGCAGCGTGGGACGAGTCCGAGCCGAGGGTCTCCATCGGAGACGTTCCCCCACGCGGCATGGGGACCAGCCGGATCACAGCCCTTTGGCCATGGCCCTCTCTGCCCGGCGATGTCCTGAGCGGCGCAGAGGGCATCGCCTCCTGCCCTCCACCATCACCGGGCAGTAACAATGAGGAGGGCCAGCCTGCATTGTGAGCACACCCTGGGTTACCCCCATGCTTCCCCCAGCTGCCAGCACCCAGGGCGCGGTGAGGGCAGAGCGGCATGGGGATGCTTTCGAGTAACGTGGCATGGGGGTGCTTTCGAGTAACCTTCTCGCCTGTCCCTGCGCCTGTCTGCCTCTCCATTAGGACAGCGATGCATGGCCCCTCGCAGCCGATACCTGTGTCTCCCAGCGCAGCCCTCCCCTCCTGCCCAGGGCTGAGCAGAGACACTCGGAGCCCAAAAAGAACCTGCTATTTGTACACCACATCCCTTTTCTTTGACCTCTGGCAACGCTGTGGATCATGTCCTCCCTTGCCATCCCTAAACGATGCCACACAGGGCTGCATCCTGCCCTGCGTGCTGCTGTCTGGTCCCCATGCAAGGCCCAGCAGCATTAAAACCCCAATTGTTTCTTTTAAAGGTTTTCTGGCTTATCTCCCAGCGTCGACTTCGGTGCCACCGGCTGCTCCCGTCGGCTTCCCAAGGGGCAGCTCAGCAGCTCAGGGGGCACAAAGCCCCATTTCCGAAAGGGATCCCCGTCTCCACTGGGATGGTGTCTGAGCTCAAATAAAAGATGCATGGGTCACCTGCCAGCCCCGCCAAAGCCAGCGCCAGAGCAGAGGTCATTGCTGCGTCACAGGATTGTGGCCAGCATTTGTGCATCTGCTTCTGGGGACGAGGTGGCCGCAGCCATGTGTTGGTGCGGGGAAGGAGAAATTCTGGCCGCAGCCACGAGGCAAACCTCCCTCTCAAATGCCAGGAGATCCCTAAAGGTCAGAGGCCTCCTGCAAAGAGCCTGCCCGGGCTGGCACGCAGATTTGTGCTGTTTGAGTCACGACTCAGGATCAGACCAGAAGGGCTGCAGGCTCCAGCAACGTGGTGCCCAGGGTTTAGGTCACTGGACTGCCCCTGTGGCTGGAGAGTACACAGGAAGAGCCAGTCACCGCTCGCACTGGCCGGAAACCCCCCCCGGGTGCATCAGGTGAACAAGATCCTCTTTCTTTGTCTGAGGGCTCAGCACCTTTCAGGAGCCGAGAGGGAAGTGCCCCCAGCGAGGGGAAGAGGGGTTCCTCTTTCCTAGCCCCCCGGACTCCCCGGCCGCCTGCAAGGGTATTGCTTTCCTAGTCGCCAGAACCACCACGCACCAGATGCAGCCTTCCTCTTTTCTCCGAACCCAAAATAGCCCCAAGCCCCAGATGGGGCGGCAGCTGGGGGACAGTTCCTCTTTCCAAACACTGCTCGTGGGGGGAAGAGGGCAGGATTGCTGAAGAAGACTCGGCGCCAGGGAGGAAGAAGCGTGGCGCAGAGCTGACAGGGCTCCTCCACCGGGCGCTGGGGCCGGGAGGGAACCGCGTGGGGGTCACTGGTGGCTGCAGAGGGAGGCAGCGGAGCAGAAAGAGGTGGGGTGGAGGACAGAAAACAATGGGCAGCTCCCCCCCACCTCGGCGCTGGGACATGGCAAGACTTCCTGCAGCAGGATTTGAGGGTCAGCGACCTTTGCAGAGAGACATCTGTGCGCAGAAGGCAACTGCCTCTTGCCCAGGCCCTTGCGCATCCCCAGCCCAGGACCAAGGGCAAACGCAATCTGTCTTCCCTTCCCCTGGGAGGCAGGGCCCTTCTCACGGGGTCCTCGCTGCCGTTCAAAACCCTGCTCAGGCCAGACATTGGAAACCACAATCCCGCCCGTGGGGGGACAGCGAAAGGCAAGAGAAACTCCCTGCTCTAAGCCATCCCTTTCCTGGAAAGATTCAGCAACTCCCCCGGCTGCCGCCTGTGTTTTCCCAAGCGTGAGGGTTCGGGTCGGCTTTTGCAAAGCACAGGGGCTGCACTGGAGGGTCGTCCTTTTCCCCCCCGTAAATACTGCTGACATTTGGGGGCCACATTCACAAGCACCCCGGCCTAATGGCAGGTTCATCCCCCAGCCCTCGACGCCTCCGCTCCATCCACTTGGAAAGCCGTGCCGTGCCCCGTGCCGCCCAGCTGCTGTGAATTTCCCCGCTGGTGTTCAGGGTGTGGTTGAGACCAAAATGTACCGGTCGTCGCAGGGTCTTGCCAGGCTCACGAAGAGCGTAGCAAGTTTCCTGGCCGTGGTGAAAGTCCCCAGCTGATGCCAGGCTGCAGCCGGGGTGACGGCGGGGCCCGAATTCAGACGCAGAAGCCTCGCCCTGGAGCCGTGCGAGAGCAAGCTTTGCCATTGCAGTATAGGGACTTGGATGCGTGGCTGGGCGGCTGTGACTCCCTGCAGCCGAGAGCAACAGTGTGCCCACACGCCGGCCAGCCGGCCCCCTGTGAGATGCGGCGCGAGGAGATACCATCTCCTCGCCACCCCAGACCTCTGTGCACCTTCCTCCCCTCTCCCACGTGAGGAATTTCACACTCTCCCACCCTGGGCATCCTCTTTTCTTGGCAGCTTGTGAAGGGCGACTCGGAGATCTCTGCCTCCTGCACCCAGAGGGACCGAGGGTCCAGCCTTGGGGGGGTCCGAGCCGCAGCAGCACAGGCGGCCGTGCCCCGGCCCCGGGACTTCGCTGCCCAGCTCAGACACGTGGGCTACCAAGCCACCGAGAGCTTCCGTCCATGGGGATCTGAAGCCTGCCATCACCCCCCCGTGATTCAAAATATAGAGGCAAAGGTTGCCCTCGCCCCACCCACCGCCGTGGGAACAGCTTGGAAGAGAGGCCCCGGGCCTGGGAAGGAAATCCCCCCTGCCCCCGGGGCCACCGTGCAGCTGCTCTGCTCCCACCGCTGCAAGGGGAGAAGGAGCAGCTGGGTCCATGCAAGGGGCTGGGGTGGTCTCCCCACATCACCCTGAAGCGCGACCCACCTCCGGAGTCTCCCCCCGACCCGGTGATGGGCGCCGGGGGCAGAAAGGGGGACTCTTGGGGACGGGGGGAAGAACAGAGCAAGGGATCAAAAGGTCGAAAGGCAGCTCCTCTGGGGGAGGAGGCATAATGGACGTGGGGGAAGGAGGGAGCAGGGTGACAGCTGGGAAAGGAGTGGGCTGGGTGGTTAGTGGGAAAGCCAGAGCTCGGGCTTGGACTGAGCGAAGGCGTGAGCTGGGGGCGGTGGGGAGCTCCCCTCGGCCCGGCAGCCCCCCACAATCATTGCGGGTGGACAAAGAGAGGTTGCGGAGGCCACCGGGGCCGAGGGCAGGGTGCAGAAAAACACCGGGGCTGCAGCCGTCCCCCGGGGCAGGGCTGGGAGCGGAGGCAGGCTGGGGCTTCCTGAAGTCTTCAGAGCTTTGTCACCAGCCCTGGTTTCTGCCCTAGAGAAATTACTCAGCCAGCAACAAAAACATGTTTTCCTGGTGGAATAAGCCGCACTGCATCTCGCCAGTGGGAGGGGAGGGAAGGCGAAGTGCCCTGGCCTGGCCGTACCCCCCCAGCCTCCCGGGACGGCCCAGGCCTGGGAAACTGAAACCTGCTCAGGGCAGGACGGGGAGAGGGGCTGGCTGGTTGCATGGCCACGGCTGGGGGATTTCTCGCCCCTTCTGTGGGACCCCAGGAGGGCTCTGCCAGACCCCGAATCCCCGTTGCACCCTGCTGTTTCTCTGGGACTCACGGCGGGACAGCCCAGGGGCCTGCGGACTTGCTCATCAGACACGAGCTGCGGCGGATAAGCCACCGGGCCAGGAGCGGAGGGTGCTGCAGGCACGGTGGGGAGGGATGCTCGGGCTGCTGCGCCACTTTGGAGAACGGGTCCTAGGCTCAGGCAGACAAGTTATACCAGGTTAAGGACGGGTGGGAAGCAATGCCTCAGTTTAGCTCCCATGCCCAGGACAGATGCAGGGATGATCTGATGCGCAGTAAGTGCCCCCACCCACCCCTTGCCGGGCTAGCCTTGGTCTGTCTGTCCACCCCCAGGCTAAACGCCAGGTATGGACACAAGAGGAAGCTCAGAGAAGTGCCGTGGCGTCGTCTGCCAACCTGGGGCACCCCAGCGCGAATTCAGTCCATCTCGTCTCCTGGCGGTCCGGAGCCAAGGCAGGTCCCAGGCCTTGCCCTCACCTCACCTTGGGATCCATGCAGCACCATCTGGCATTGGGAAAAGCCCCGTGTGCTAATCTGCCTTAATCTCCCCAGATCCTCTGTGCCCCGCGGGCGGCGGGCAGGCCGGAGCCGATGTAGATATCACCCCAGCGCGCTCAGACAGATGAGCAGCGACAGCCCCGGCTCTGCGAAACCATCCCCGGAGAGCGCGGGCGGAGGCAGACGGCTGCAAGCGCGCTCTGCAGCGTCCGCATGAATTAAGGGCCCGCCGGTATTTCCATCGGGGTCGGGGCAGGGCAGGGAGGCAGGCACCTCGGTGACCATGCTGCTCCATTAACTGGGGGTGGCTGTGCAAAAAGCGTTAGAGAAGGGGGCCGGGGGGGCCTGGGGTTTCAGCTGCTCCCTTCCACCCCGCTGCACCCCATGACAGCTTTGTGGGGACGCCCTGCACCAGGGCTGGGCTCTGCCCCATGGTGCTGGGGCTGGCGCAGGCTGCTGTCCAACGCCCCCTGGCTGCACCAGCCCCGTGGACCGTTCCAGCAGCTGCAATGGGCAGAGCCTGCAGATGCTCCAGCTATACCCCCAGCACAGCCCCCGTGTGTCTTGTGCACCAGGGCCCCTGCTTGGACGGCACGAGGCTGGCTACCAGCAGCCGTGCGTCCTGCAGGGACTGCCTCTCTGCCGGGGGTAACCCACGGGCGTCGTGCCGGTGACTGCTGCAGCGTCCTTTGCGGCTTCGCTTGCCTAGCCACGAGCACGTCCCTTTGTCCTCCAAGCAGACGCCGCAGCCTTAGAGCTATTTCATGCAGACATTCATGGCCTAATGCTCCTCGTACATGGGTCGGAGGCTGGCACGACCCCGCGGGTTTCTGCGGAGCGGCTCCGGCTGGAGCTTTGCATGCACCCTAGAGCTGTCGAGGCCCGTTCCCCTGCAAGAAGGTCATGGTGGATCCTGTCAACTGCTTGCTAGAGCCAGCGAGAGAAGCTGGTTCTCTGAGCACCTCGCTCCTGGCCCCGCTCATCACCAGCACACCCCTCCAGCCTGACCCCCCGCACCCCCTGCTCCTCAGCGCTGGAGCAGAGACTGCTAATCAGGCCTGTTCGCGCCCGGGGGGCTTCGGCTCAAGCCTGCGCACTTTGCCGGGAGCGTGGGGAGCCGAGATCCTCCCTGAATCAATCCCTCCGTAGCCGGCTCTGTTGCTAAGCTGTGCAGCCCTCCCTGCCTCTGCCAAGCCGGGGTTTAATGCCAGCCCCTGCGGGGTCCGTTTTTGAGCATCCTCATTTCACACGCGCCCCCATCAACCCCCTCTCTTCCCCCCGCCTTGGTCATCTGCCATCTCCATGCTCTCTCCAAGACAAGCATTAGCCCAGCCAAGCTGTCAGGAGAGCCGGGCCGCGCTGAGACCTGCGCGGTGCTGGCTCTGGGTGACCTTTGCCTGGATCTTATCTCCCTTTGCTCACTTTGCAAATGAGTCCGTGATTCCAAGCACCCTGGGTTCGTTAATGTGGTTTCTAATCCCCTAACGATCCCTGTAATTGTTCAGGCATATGGAGCCTCCCACTGTCTTGCCAGCTGACCCTGGCCCGGGCCCTCCCCTTCCTACCCCCAGGACAGCTTCACCTCTTGCAAGGCTGGCTTTGAACTCAGGCTTCTGGACCGGGTGGGGCTGGAGTCTATTATGCATATTGGATTACCCCCTCCCTCGCGCCCGATGCCCATCTGCCTCCCACCTGGGGAGGGCCGGGCAGGAGCAGCAAGGTCCCTGCATCCGCTTCCCAGAGCATCTCGTGGAAACCGCGCCAGGCGGGAGCGAACGTGCGGTTCAGCCCAGGCCTC